TCTCCACACACCCACACCTACACACACCTACACACACCTACACACACCCACACCTACACACACCTACACACACACGCTCGCTCCCATCCTGACGGCCTCCTCCCTGCAGGTGAACTTCGCCTTCCTGGTGTGGCGCAGCTTCCCGGACCGGATCGTCGGCTATCCGCCCCGGAGCCACTTCTGGGACCTGCTGAAACACGCCTGGGGCTACACGTCCAAATGGACCAACGAGTACTCCATCGTCCTGACCGGCGCCGCCTTCTACCACAGGTCCACTTCATCAGTCGGTCTGCGTCCGATTGGAACCGGAACCAGTCTGGATCCGATCACAGGGACAGAAATAAATCGATTTGTTGTCCTGAATCGATTCAAGTTGTTGGTCTTTGCTTTGCATTACGCTGCTAAGCTAGGCTAATACAGAACACAGTATGTAAAGGATGCAGAACTTTATGCATAAATCTATTTTTGGCCAAATATAAACGGAGTGAACCTTGTGGAATTGTTTTAGATAAATATTTGATTTGCTTACTCTTTTCCTCTTTTTTCTGACTTTAAAGTAATTTCTGGTTCAAATCTTGATGCTTAAAATAATTTCTATTGCATCTCTATTTCTGATGGACATGAACATCAGAATTACTTCAAAAGATTTAAGTCTGATTATATAAATATTAAACACATCGTGTTTTATTTAATGCTGGGACTTCACTGTGTTAATTTTCATTTACTAATTACAATTTTAAAGTAATTCATCACTTTTTTTTCCCATTCAAAATTTCTTTCCGAACCCTTTGTACCGATGCGCTTCTGGTTCCAGAGTTAAATATTCTTTAGAAACTAAAGTTTTATTGACCTGCTAACAGCAGCGTCTCTGGTTAATTTCTGGTTCTAAATTATCTGACTGGATGCTGCAAAAGGCTGTTGTTGGGTTCAAGTTGTGCTAAAAGGAGTTAGCTCATCAGTGAAGCAATGGTAGCCTAACATACACTGCTAAGCTAAGCTAACACACACACTCACACATGTTTAGCATCTCAATGCTAAACAAGTAGCAGCTAAGCTAGCATCCACATTTCTGGAGAAGATCCATGAATAGCTCTTTAAGTTTGCTCCAATCTGAGGGTTGAAGAACCTGGAAAACATTAAAAACTATAAATATTTTCATTTTTTTTATCTCATGTGTCTATTTATTTGATTATTTGGTTGCAAAAATGGTTTTTGAATTGAAATGTTGCTCATTTTGATGATTAAAATATGATTAATTCCAGACTCTGGTGTTAGCTCCATGAAACATTTTAATCCTGCCTCCAGTTTTTATTTACGCTTTGACTTCCTGTGGGCGTGTCCCTGCAGGTACTACAACTTCCTGTTCTCCCACTACCTGCCCCAGTCCCTGCGGACGCTGGTGGACCGGACGTCCAACTGCGAGGACATCCTGATGAACTTCCTGGTGTCGGCGGCGACTCACCTGCCGCCTGTTAAAGTGGCTCAGAGGAAGCAGTACAAGGAAGTCCCGCCTCCTCAGGTACGTCCTCCTGATCGTGGACAGGTTGTCTGAATGTCTCTGATGCGTCCCGTCCCCCCCAGGGCACGAAGAGCGCCCCCTGGGCCAACCCGGAGCATTTCACCCAGAGGCAGGAGTGCGTCAACACGTTCGCCAGCTGGTTCGGCTACATGCCGCTGGTCCACTCCCAGCTCCGCCTGGACCCCGTCCTCTTCAAGGACCAGGTGTCCGTCCTCCGAAAGAAGTACAAGGACCTGGAGCGGGCGTAGTCGCCGGACCGGACCGGACCGACCTGATGAGCACAGGTCCAGTCCTCCACACGGACCGGTCCTGGCGGTTTTGGACGGATAGAGGAGTCCGTGTGGACGGTGAAAACTTTCTCTGATGGACGGTGACAGAACGCCGGAGGGACCGGTACCGGTTCTGCTCAGCCCACAGCAGAACTTTGCAGGAACCATCGATAATAATAAACTGATTATTTCACAGGGAAATGTTGTCAAACAATAAAATGATTTCTATCAGAACCAATAAAGCGGTTCTAAATGCAGGTCCGGTTTTGTGATCCGGGTTTCTGTTCCAAACAGAACAGGAAGTGTTCAGGTTCTGGTTCCTACCAGAGTCCGATAAGAAACCTCTCAGGATAAACAGATAAAAATGTATTTATTTCCGCATAATCTGAGCAAAACAAGCAAACAGCTTTTTATGCAGATGGAATAATGGAGCTGAAGTTCATGGGTTGTTCAGCTCCTCAGAGGGAAAAACACCCATTTATTTACTGTGTTAACATTAAATTAAATCGATTTTATTAGCAAATCAAATATTTAATTTGAAGCTAAATACTTAGCTCTCAATAGTTGACTACAAACTATAATTTGTAAACTAAATATTTAGCTGGTTCAATGCTAAACATTTAGCTTGGAACTAATAATTTAGTTAAGCTATATAATATAATTTAGTTAAGCTATATAATAAGCTGAATATTCATCTTGCTAATAAGTTTAAAAATTGACAGTGAATGAAAACTGAAGATGTGATTTTGATTCATTTGAATTGAAATTTGACTTTGAAGGCTAAATAACCCAAAAATTTTACATGAATTTTTTGACTAACTTTACAAACAGTAGCCCAGGTCAGCGTCACATTAAATCATGAAATGAATGATTGCAGTTTAAAAGACCCACTGAGTTTAACTTAGCAGAATTAAATCCCAGGATAGTTTTAACTTTTATCTAAAACAAACAAACAAAAACAGGATCAGAAATAATTTTCAAGGACGCGATGCCACCATGAGGGTTCTGAAAACCCACAATGCACCTTGATTCGGGTTCGGGTCGGGTTTGGTGGGTTCCGGGGCCGGAAGTCAGCTTTGTGTCATTGTTGTGAATCAGACTGAATGAGTCCTCGACTTGTTGCGGCGTGGGAGGAAACACGGATCAACACGGCCGGGAAAACGAGCTCCACCCGGGGCTGGAGCAGCTGTGGTCCTGGGAATCCTGCTGGGATTAACGGGAATCCTGCTGGGATTAACGGGAATCCTGCTGGGATTAACGGGAACCACGGAACAAACACTCAACATATTAAAAAAAAAAAAGATTTATTTCATACAAAAGCACGTCAGTTTACAAAAACACGGCGAGACGCCTCCCAGTGAGGAAACAAAGACAGGAGACCGGCGCCCCCTGCTGGAGGCCAGCGGGAAGTGCAGCCAGCTGAACAAACCGAGTCACCAGCTGCCTGAGGAAGAGGAGGAGGAGGTCATGTATCTTCATCACTTCCTGAGGGTCAGCATGGCGTTGACGTCCCACAGCAGGTTCCTCATCTGGTCCATCAGAAACTTCATCTCCTGGTTCTTCTGACGGACTTTCTGTGGGCAACAGAACATCTGGGTCAGACCACGGTCCAAACCAACAGAACCAGAACCAACAGAACTATGTTCTTTATTATTTGGCTGATGGTTTTCCAGGTTGACTCACTGATATCCATTTTTATAAAAACATACAAAATTACAAACACAAACACAATTAATCGACTGATAATTATTTATTCGGTTAAATTAGGTCCAGTCTTTTAACTGTGTCCGTTCAGACCCGTCTCAGTGCTGTAGCTTGGCCGCCATCCAGCGGGGGGCGCTGCTGGTTATCATCAAGCGGAGGAACCAATTGATCCAAAATCAAAGATGGCGGCCATAACGGAACAGGAAAGAGAAACGGTCCAGTCAGAGTCTGGTGTGGGATATAAAACGTTCTCTGTTTAGAAATATAAAAACTGAACAAAGTCCTGAAGTTCCACCAACTCCTCAACCAAAAACTATTGATGTGCTACGAGGCAAAGTGGAGGGAATAACGGAGAAACAGGGCAACGTGATTCAGTTGGGCGCCGTTAACATTTAATCCCAAATTTTTCCCAGACATGAAAGTATTAAAATCAGATGTCATTGAACCATCCATTTTCTTTGCACCCTTGTCCCTTGGTGGGGTTGCTGGTGCCTCTCCAGCTATCATTGCAGGTGGAGGGTGGGGTCACCTGGACAGGTTGCCAGTCTGTTGCAGGGCAACACGGAGACAAACAACCATGCATACACACACACACACACCTAGGGGGCAATTTGGAGAGGCCAATTAACCTGACATGTTTTTGGACTGTGGGAGGAAGCTGGAGAACCTGGAGAGAGCCCACCATGCACAGGGAGAACATGCAGGCTCCATGCAGAGGGACCAGGGCTGGGAATTGAACCCAGAGCCTTCTTGCTGCAAGGCAATGGTGCTACCAACTGCGCTACTGTGCAGCCCCCCTTTGAAATAGACATGATCGTAATATGTGAACTTGTTCATTGGAATATATCTTGCCACAGCATTACTTTAGTGCAACATTTGCTCTGTAAAGTACAAATTTGACTATCTGTATATTCTAAACCAAGATAAATTTGAGTGCTAGAGCACATGTGTCAAACTCAAGGCCCGCGGGCCACATGTGGCCCGCAATGTCATTTTATGTGCCCCCCAGCGTTTTATAGGCCCATGATTGACTTAAAATAGGTTTTGAGCACGAATTGACTACAAACTACATCTCCCATAATGCATTCCGATTGTTACCAGACAACGTTACGGCTTCTCGCCACTAGAGAGCAGCAGAGTCACCTCAAGCTGCTGATTTATTTTCCCAGCGAATAAAACTGAGACATGGACAAGCTAACATCAAAACGTCCAAGAAAAGAAAAATCGATTTACAAGTAAGACTGTGAATGAAGATGTGTGAGTTGGTGTCAGGGCGGCAGGTGGCGCTAGATGTTATCTTGACCGACAACATAAAAAAAAATCGGTCATGTACTATTTTTATCCGTGAAATTACAATCATATTAACATCGGCTATTTAGTCGCATTTTATGCTGTTTAATTAATATTCACCGTGAATCCAGATCCCATCACAAATTAAGCAGATAAATGTATCCACATCTAAGCGACTTCACGTTTCTAATTCTTTGCAGCGGCGGAGCCGCGTCCGCAGTGGTTGAGCAGCGGATTGCATGTTACAGTCTAATTAACTTCTGCATCGTCATTTATTTCCTCCAGATAAACTATCGACTCCTCAGATGGATTAACACAACGTTGCATTCTCTTTAGTTTTCTCTGGTCTGGAATGGAGACTTGAATTTAACGCGTCATTTCAACCAAAGGTTTGTAATGCGCTTCCTAACCAGACGCTCCAAAGCGTCCGGTCCATAACTCTTCATCACGCATTTAGTTCAGAGACCATGAGATGATATTCAGAAAGGATTTTTTAATTAATTGATTTCAGTTGCCTCTGAGACTAAATCTTTGCGTAAAGTCTATA